TTGGGGTTTTCAAACCCTTGAAGAGCTTAAAAACTGCAGGCTGGTAGCTACCTAACTTAAGGAAAATGTGAAATTCATTCATAAGCCCTGGGCTTTCTAAAGTGATTAGACACAAGTAGGGACTGTAAAGGAATAACAAGACCAGATCAGGACTATAGTAAGTTTTTTCAAGCCAAATATGCTAGGAAAAAAGTCAGGCCTTGGTGCCTTTCTTTGGTGTAAATGAAAACTGGTTCTTAAGAGAACTAGAAATCTGAGGAATAGCCCATGCCCAGGGGATGCATCCTACTCTGTGCCTCTTTACAGTGGGAAGGGCGAGAGGCTTCAGGAAAGTGAGTCAAACAATTTCAATGAGATGAAGTTGCGTGGTGGGAGTCAGTAACCATGGTGATGAAACCACTCAGGTACATCAGAGCCCAGGGGCACTGGACTGATGGTGGTTCATGTCCAGAAAGCCACTTCAGCCTCCTGAGTTAAGGGGAAAAACAGTTTATGAAGAATAAAGACTTTTTCACAAAATAATTTTTACTGCTATTCAAGTGATTGAAATGTGCTCAATATGGTGTGCGTAGGTGCCTCATCTGAAACCCAGCACAAGAGGCATGATTTTGGCAAAAGCAAAGCAGCAACAGATGCTTCTGACAGCTGAGTTGTGTAACAGACTTCTCTTGCTACAGCCTAGGTCAGCTGGTCCTCACAGAAAGTTTAACTGAAATGTTCAGGCATCTGATACTAACCAGAGGGATAAGAAAAAACTGAGGTGTGATACATACAATGGAGGTATGATATTGTTTTCCTTACATGGATATTTCCACTGGATTCTTCATTTGCTAAAGTTGGCATGACCATAAACTCCACTACCTTTCAATGAGATGAAGTTGCGTGGTGGGAGTCAGTAACCATGGTGATGAAACCACTCAGGTACATCAGAGCCCAGGGGCACTGGACTGATGGTGGTTCATGTCCAGAAAGCCACTTCAGCCTCCTGAGTTAAGGGGAAAAACAGTTTATGAAGAATAAAGACTTTAATTTTAAAGAATAATTTTTACTGCTATTCAAGTGACTGAAATGTGCTCAATATGGTGTGCGTAGGTGCCTCATCTGAAACCCAGCACAAGAGGCATGATTTTGGCAAAAGCAAAGCAGCAACAGATGCTTCTGACAGCTGAGTTGTGTAACAGACTTCTCTTGCTACAGCCTAGGTCAGCTGGTCCTCACAGAAAGTTTAACTGAAATGTTCAGGCATCTGATACTAACCAGAGGGATAAGAAAAAACTGAGGTGTGATACATACAATGGAGGTATGATATTGTTTTCCTTACATGGATATTTCCACTGGATTCTTCATTTGCTAAAGTTGGCATGACCATAAACTACCCGAGCTTTTGTATGACCACAAGAATTTTGTATTTATCTCAAGTATATGATAAAGGAACAAGACCTGCAGGTGGTTGAGACTGACAGGAGGAAAGACAGTGGGAATTATTTGAACAGGAGAGGCATTTGGTATACATTGCAAACCCCACCACTTGTATTTTGCTGCACTGAACTGTGTTTTGATTCAGACATTTAGGGACTGGCTAACAAAAGTGTTTTGATGAGGTATCTGTGAGGTTGCACTGTTTTGACACCAAGGCTATTTAGAAGTTATTTTTAGGTCACTGTGACGTTAATGGTATTGCAAATGTGGTACTGTTAGGCATGGCCATGAACTGCTTTTAGTCAGTGAAATGCCTCACACACGCTGTGCTGAATCCTGAAGTAGATACGTGGATTTGATGATCTGATTATAAAAAGTGTGTTTGAGGAATAGCCATAGATCTCCACTAAAAACCCCTTTACTTAATTAAAAAATACCTTTATTTTGCCCTGCCAAACCAAGAAAGTTGTGACCCAGAAATAGATAACAAAGCCCTGCCAAGTTTTTGCTTTGAAAGATACTTCCTTTGAGTGGCTGCAATAGCGTAAATAGGAAAAAATTTTGCCTCTTAATTTCTGCTGAAGTAAACCTTGGCTTATTGTAATAATTTTAATATCTCTTATCACATGTCTTAAGAGATTTAATCTCTTATCTTTAATATCTCTTATCAATATTAATTGAATCTTGTGTAATCTAACACAGTAGCTTGCCCTGCCATGAGAAGAATGTCAGTCAGAAATCACAGTTAATCATTGCAAAAAATTGTTAGGAAAAATGAGTCTTGCTCATTTGCTATTCACAGAAATGGCTGATCTGTAGAATGACTCTCAGTCTAGGAAAATAAAACTACATAGAGTGTCAATATTTATATGTTATTAAATCAGCAACAGCAGATGTAGTCTGAATGGCTATGTGGTGTAGTTTCATATGAAGTACCTTCAGTAATATGCTACTGAAAATGAGAATAAAGAGTTTATAATATGCAATTTCTGAAATTTATTGCAGTATTGATCATTACACTGCACTTACTGCAGCAGACCTTAGTACTGTAAACGACTGCAATGTGTATCCTCTGCACATCAGTAATAACCATTAAGAACTAGCTACAAACAATTATTTCCACCATCACTTACAAAAAACAATTCCAAGTTGTCACTTTAAAAAGATGCAGTAAAGACCAGGAGTTTTTCTTCAGGAAAATGTACACTTATTTTCAGGAACAATCTGACCTACTAATGAAGCATATTTAAACTATGACCACAAGCACTGACATAAATAGCTTTTTCCATTCTTAACACAAATATAGTTTCATAGATTGAAGCTACCATGCATTTTTGATTGCTCTTAAGAGAAAACATTATTCAAATATATCCATTGCTTAATTTCTGCTACCCACTCTGCCCTTCACCACTTTCATCACCACTCTAAATAGTAATTTAGAGTGGTGATGAAAATGGAGCCTAATTCCTGGGTGAGACAGCTCCCATAGCAGGGCAAACCTTGGAAGAAGGTAAATCTTTATTTTCCATTAATTAACATCTTCTATCACTAATAATGAGACTGTACACATACAAAAAAAAAAAAAAATCTCCTATGCATAATAATTTAATGTGTGGCCTCGACTGCCAGAAGAGTGCCTGCCCATGAGCTGGAAGGGGTGAGAGCAGGGACAGTTCCCCCTCTGAGGGATGAGCCAGCTGAAGCTCATACAACAGAAACAGGAGGGTAGCAGGCAGCTGGGAAGTCACACTTCAGGGTAGTTTTTGTCAGGTTTATCAGTATCTCCCCAGGATGGGTTTTAGTGTGGAGAGCATGGAATGAGATGTCTCTTAGAGCTTGAAGATATAAATTTGGTTGGTTGGTTGGTTGGTGATTTTTTTTTTAAGGAGTTAGACTCTGACATTCTCATGTGTTTCTGGTTTGTGTAAGAAAGAAATATATCAAGGAAAATACAAATTGAATCCTTAACACCTGAATCCATGTACAGTTCATATATGATAATCTAGAAACTAATCAATGGGAATCAAAACAAAAAAATACTTTGTATCTTTTTTAAGGCAACACCAGGTTTATTTCAGTGTTGCTCTCCAGAGGAGACACTAGGCATCCTGAATGATAGTTGTTAAATGCTCAGAAACATGGATAATCACTAAAAGAAAAGGAAGTATACCAATGGCATCTCAAAGTTCTTATCTGTATCTTTTTTGCCTTCCAGAAAACATCTAAGGATAATTGCATGCAAAAAACCCCACAGCCAAACACCTTAAGCTGAATGCTTCCTAAGGAGACACATTGTCATAGTGAAGCAGGACTAGAGATGATCTCAAGAGACCATTACCCTCTGCCTCTGCCCCAAGGCAGGATCAATTTTGTCACTGTCATATCTGACAGAAGCTTACAGTCATTTTACTGAGAGAGATGTCATAATTTACCTAGGCAATCTACTCCAGTGCTTAATTATCTTTATTCTTATCTTTTTACAGATTCTTGCCTTGGTCTTCCTTACAGCCCATTACCTCTTGTCCTGCCGCTGTAGCCCATGAAGAACACATTGCAGTCACCCCCAAGTATTCCCCAAGGACATACTCCAGAAAAGAGCAGGGTAGCACGAGCATATTTTCCCAAAAGAACTAATGATGGAGAAAATGCATATAGGGATTTAAGAACTACACATGGTTTAAAATCACAGGGAGCAGGATCACTGGGAGGAGAGTCTCTTTTCTGCTGCTGTCCTTTCAGCACAGATCACTGTTCTGAAAAGTTTGAGACATATGCCATCTATGAGACAATGCTCAAGAAAGCTCTTGCAGTGTAAGCATTCTTTATGTCTCTGGACAGTTGCATTTTCATCATCTTCCTGAAAATCAAAGGCAATACATAGGTGGGGGACAGAAAAAATGGGGCAAGGATGGTGGTTAGTGGACTATAGTTTTAAATGATCAGCAGCAGAACCTTTAAGTAGTGGACAGAGAAACAGAGGGCAATGAGATGCCACTGTATTGCCTTAATGTCTGCTGAACCCTTCTACACAGATTGAAACAATCATAGTTTTCCCAGTATTCTCTCTCCTGCAAGCCATCCAACATCTATTTGCTCTGCCTTTTATCTTCATATTTGCAAGGAGTGAAATGGGTTGACAGAGATGATGTAGTCAATCTTTATTTTGTGGATCATATTATATTTCTACTTTCTGAAGGGATTGGCTGCCTGAACTATGAGGGTTTTTTACTTTGATCTAATTATCTCACTATTCTTAATATATACCTCAAATTTGACTGTAGAATGGGGGTGATTAAATGCATGAGAGATGTCTAATGACTGTGAGTAAGGGGTGAAGGTGGCCATGGGAAGAGGTAAATGTGTGGCTGCTGTGTGCCTTAGGAATGGACTCCATATGCCTATCATCCCTGTGTGGTAAAAGCAGCGTTTTCCATCCCTCTGGCATGGGGAGCTTACATGGAGAGAGAAAGAACTCTCCCTGTGTGGTGGCTGTGTGCACGAGAAGTGGTTAATCACTCATCCCTCTGACACAAGGCAATGGGGTTCCTCACACTGACCAAGTCCTGCATGGGGGCAGCAGTTTACAGGGATGGCTTTGCCTTGCAATCCAATTGCAAAATAGCCGGCACTTGGTAACTGCTGGGGCTGCTGCTGTGGGCAGTCTGTGTCTGAGAAGTCACAATCCTCTTCTCCATAGACATCTCCTCACTGCTGTGCTCTCCCTGGAGGTTTATGGCATGGGGCACGGGCTGCACCCAGGCAGTGGTGGCAGCAGGAGGCACCGACGATGGGACAGCTCCTTCCTTCTGGCAGGTGGTGTCATGGTGATAGGAAACCAGCTCATTGCTGAAGTTGACCCTCTCCACAGGGGATTCGGGTGTGCCACAGCAGCAGCACTGGCAGCCCAAGAGATTGCTGAAAGCCCTCCTGAAGTCTGCATTGAAAGCATAGATGACTGGGTTCACCGAAGAGTTGGCCCAGCCAAACCACACAAAGACATTGAAGGTGGTTTGGCCGACACAGAGTGACTGCCCTTCAGGGTCCTCCTCCAGGCTGGGCTGGCAGAAAGGCAGCAGGCAGTTCAGCAGGAAGAAGGGCAGCCAGCAGCAAACAAAGACTCCCATTATGATAGAAAGGGTCTGCAGCACCCTGGTCTCCTTGTGCAAGGAACTCCGCAAAGAGGAGGTGGGCTCCTTGCCAGGAGCTGGCCACTGCCCCCCTGCTCTCTCAAGGGTGGAGATGCGGCGGATCTGGGCCTGGGCAATCCTGTAGATCCTGGTATAGGTGATGATCATTATGGCCACAGGGATGTAGAAGCTGATAAGGGAGGAGGTGATGGCATAAGTGCGGTTCAACCTGACATCACAGCGGGGTGTCCCAGGTAGCCAGGAGCCTGAATCTCTACTGTCCTTGGCTTTATGCCAGTGTAGCTGCACAGGGATGAAGGAGATGAGGATGGAGAGAGCCCAGGCCACGGCTATCATGGCACAAGCAAGGCGCTGCGTCATCCTGCGCTCATAGCGAAAGGGGCTGGCGATGGCCCAGTACCGGTCCAGGCTGATGATGCAGAGGTGGAGGATGGAGGCGGTGGAGCACATGATGTCGAAAGCCACCCAGGTGTCACAAAAGTGGCTGCCAAAGAGCCAGGAGCCTCCAGCCACCTCAGTGACCGCCTTCCAGGGCATCACCAAAAGAGCCACGCAGAGGTCCGAGATGGCCAGTGACAGCACGAACCAGTTGGTGACCTTGTTGCGGAGGTGGCGAAAGCGCAGGATGGCGAGGCACACAAGCGCATTGCCCAGCAGCGTGCTCAGCACCAGGGCGCCCAGCAGGCACCCGGTGAGTGCCCGCAGCACCCACGGGCCGCCCCCCAGCGCCGCGCTCCCCATCGGGAGGCGGCGGGACGCCCCCGGCCAGCGCCGCCCGCGGCTGTGGGAGCGGCCGCCCGCGGGGGCATCTCTGCCCGCCGCCCTCGGTGTGCCCCCGGCGGCTCCGGCCGTCCCGGGCTACTCACCCGCCGGCTGCCGGGGCCTCGCCTCTCGCCTCCCGGCTCGCCGCCGCCGCTCCCGGGGCCCGGAGGGAGGGGCCGTCCCGCCGCGGCGCGGGGGCTCCG